TAACACAACTTTCACCCAGGATTTTCCAATTGAAACTGATTAGAAAAATAAGTGAAAACATCTATAAATAGGCGCCCAAGTGTAAACAAAATGGGTTGTTGTTACGCTGCAATAGGATTTTGTTATAAAGAGAATGTTCAGAGAAGAATTCCAAGAAGCGATATTTATACCTAATTTGTGTCACCGGGAGATTGCTTTAAAGTCATAATAAAGTCAAAAGGTTTTGAAGCTATTTAAATTGCTGATTAAATCACTTACAATGGATTCTGCACTTTAATGTTCAAAAGGTTTGCTTTCCTGCAGAATCAGTTGCCCCCCTGACCACAGGTCCTGACATCCTGTTATAGGGTGGCTCCTTTCCCTTGCAGGGTCCTATGGAGCCAACCTTGTGTGTGCTACTAAGCTGTGTGTGTCTCCACAAATACAGACTCAGCAACGCAAGTCTCTACTCTGCTCCCTGCTCCCCCTTCCTCTCTTTTCTCTTCTCCAAACTAGTTGATGGCAAATTGTTGGAGATTGTGATCTTGTATTGGACAGGAAGCTCAGGGATGTGAAGCTGAGAGAGTTGGAGTCAGCAGTTTGGTAACATAATGACTATCATGTTCAGGCAGAAATTAAAGGAATTCTTTGCTGGGCAATGTATATTTGTTTCATCATTATCTATTTAAAAAAAAATAAAACAATGGAAAAAAAATTAATTTAAATTTATTAAAAAGCCCCAATGGGGGGGCGTGGCCTGGACGCAATGGAGGACAGCCGCACTTAATCTCGTTTTTCTACATTGCACCCTTGATCCCCTCCCCTCCTACCCCGCCTCCCAGGTTCCTTCCCTAGTTCCCCCTAATAGGGTAATTGAGCTCATTGATCATGACCAGCCGGAAAAACCTTGTTGAACATGTATAAGTTGGGCCAGATGGCACTCAGCTAACTGATTAATCCGGACTGTATTGTCTCTGATTGTATGACCCTAATATCCTTGTTTTCCATGTTTTCTCTGTCATAAATGTATGAAAACTCCGAAATAAAGATTACATAAAAAAAAAAAAAAGCCCCAATGAAAATGATTGGTGGTTCTTTACTTGCATTATAGGGGTGTGGTTCCACTCAGGGCCGTTTTTAAGGCAGGGCAAAAGGGGCAGCTGCCCCCGGCCCAGTCATTGCTTTGGGGCCCTGTACCCCATAAACTAGTGCTAATGCTTCATCTGCACTGGCTGCCACAGCTGGCTCTGGATCTACAGAGGCAGAGCCAGCTATCAATCAGGTAGAGGGGTGGATCCTGACAATATTGTCGCAATCTTTCCGAGCTGCAGTGTGCTCGGCAAAAAGCGCACTGCAGCTGTCACTGCAAGCTGTCACTGCAAGCTGTCAGCATATAGCAGGCAATATTGCATCATGGGGCAAAATTGCAGGGTGCGGGGTGTGGCAGGGGGCCCAAGAAAATGTTTGCCCATGGTCCAATCAATATTAAAGATGGCCCTGGTTCCACTACACTCAGAGGCTTAATATATATTTACTTCTTTCTAGCCCAGTGAGAATGGGTTAAGCCAACGCATGTTAAACATTACACATTTATTTTCTCATTTATGGTAGTACATATTTTTTAGGCCATGTTGAAACATGCTTAGGCTCTGCCTTTCATAGAACTGCATAGATTTAAAAAGTAAAGAGAATGCAGTATTTTACTTCTACACATGTCCTGAGGAAATGAATGGAGGGAGTTAAATAACACAGTCTGGGCTCCTAGGCAAATGTAGGCTCACATGCCAACTCCGCAAGCGTGAGAAACATGGAAATTGACAAGCTGCGTCAAGGCGCCCAGGCAAAACTATTTTAATGTAAAACTAACAATTTTATTCACGGCACATTACCACCTCAGCAGATAGCTATATCTTAAAAAGTACAATTTTCGGAATGCCTGCTCGGCCTGAGAAAAGGGAACATTAAATGATGTTCTTCATCGATAAGCAGCCACCGAAATTTCTCATAAAGCTCTGGGGAGAACACCAAGAGGAAATTCATTGACATAATATCTGGGATGATTTAAGAGGCTTTTGAAGTTAACTGTTGGTGACATGTCTTTTCCTACCCATACAGCAGTCATCTATATAAGGCCTGAAGAGTCAGGAGGCAATGAATGTTTACAGTTAAAGCTTATTCCAAAAGACAAAAATGTAAGTTTCAGTAAATGGGGCTTTTAGTGTAGCACTCATAAAAACACACACACATCTTAACGACAAAAATATATACAAAAAAATGCAACATTTCATTTAAACAAATTAAAATACATAAACATGATTTAATTGATATAAAAGTCTCAGAATTGATAAGTGTGAAAGGCACGAATTCCACCTCCTCCATCACAGAGAACATATTGTAATGAAAGGTCAATGTGTTTCACGGATTTCCTCCACTTCTTCAGTACTATTGTGATAGATGGTTATTGTTATAGGATACTCTATATTGTGGTCCTCACGTTAAAACAAACATTAATAATCATAAGAAAAAACAAAAATGGACAACTAACATATCAAATGGACTACTACCTGATATAGTGGCAGTAGTAGTCTGCTTGAAATATTAGTTGTCCATTTTTGTTTTTCCTTTTGCTTATGATTATTGATATTTGTTTTAGATAAATGCGAAGACCACAATACATTATGTCATATAACTATAATCATTTATTACAATGGTTCTGAAAAAAGCGGAGGAACTATGTGATGATTGACGTGATTACAACATGTTCCAACATCTGTAACTGTTATTTATTATATTATAATTATTTATTATAATATTCACACTTATACATTTATGACATTTTTAAATCAATAAAATCATTTTGATGCATTTTAAATCATGTGTAAATAATATATTTTTCTCTCTTAAGATGTGTGTGTGTGTCTGTATATATGTAAATACAGTATATGTTTTTTTATTTATTTTATTGATTGCTATATATATATAGGTGAAAATAATTAGAATATCGTGCAAAGTTCATTTATTTCACTAATGCAACTTAAAAGGTGAAACTAATATATGAGAGAGACTCATTACATGCAAAGCAAGATAATTCAAGCCGTGATTTGTCATAATTGTGATGATTATGGCTTACAGCTCATGAAAACCCCAAGAACCCCAAATCCACAACCTCAAAAAAGTAGATTATTACATGCAATCAATAAAACAAGGATTGTACATAGAACAATATCGGACCTCTGAAAAGTACAAGCATGCATATGTACTCAGTACTTGGTTTGGGCCCCTTTTGCAGCAATTACTGCCATTACTTTTGCACGATATTCTAATTATTCGAGTTTCACCTGTATATAGTGTTGTCTTATACAATTTCTTGTGTTATCCTATGAATAAGAAAACTAATAAACCTACTACTTCTAAGGACAGGCAGGCTGCAATGTATGTATTTTTTCTTCTTAGGTTTAGATATACTTTAAGACCCTGACCACTCTTCACTTATACGGGACAAAAGGCAGATTTGTGATCCAGGCAACCCTGCCAGAGAGTACAGAGAGTCAGATCCTATAGATAACACTGCTGTAAATGGTAAGCTGCCTAGAGAGAAACGTGGGAAGCTACCACTCTTCATGTTACACTGCCTTTCACTGTCACATGTGGCAAAAGAGGAGGTAGAATAAGCCAATGTTCCTTCTATATCTGGGAGTATATATTTTTGAGGAACTTGAGAGTGAATTGGTTTACAGTACAAGCAGCTACAGGGGTCAGTGATGGCTTGCTTTAAAGCTATTTTACTGCTTGTTAATATGTAAATTAGGGATACACCAATACCAAGTACCATACTCGATACAAGTACAAGTACCGATACTTTTTGAGCTCCAGGACTAGACTAGAGAAAAATTAAAAAGTTAGGAGGCCGCTGTCATTTGTAAGGAGCACACGGAGCTTCTGGGATTTGTACATCTCGGTTTTAATGTATGATTTTGTTTTTATAAATATAAATAAAGGGATGCACCGATACCATTCTTGCAAATACAAGTACTGATACTTGCCCAAGTACTCACAGATACAAGTACGGATACATTTTTGTTTACTGTCATGTGACAGTTTTTCTAAAACAATACAGACTAATGATTTCAGGACAGTGGTGGAGAGCCAGAGCCAGGTCACAGCTACAACCGCTGCAACCCTGGTAGTTCTCATGAAAATGCCAAGTATCGGCACTGGTATCTGAACTGGTATCTGGACATCCCTAATGTAAATCATTTATTGTCCATAGTATGGGAACAGGTGCACTCGAAAAAAGGACCTATTGTTTGCCCAGCATGGACAAAATTCTGGTTTGCTTTAACCCTTTCGCTGCCAAGGACGTATGGCATACGGACCTACAAAAGTGCTTCCAGCTGGCCAGGTCAGTATGCCATACGGACCTGGCATTTACAGTTCTACTATAAGCTGATGGTCTAACTTATAGTATAACTGTTCAGCAGACTGTCCCCTTTAAATTAATAGCTGTCATCAGCGGCTCACAAGCCGCTGATGACTGCTATTATCAAAAATACCGGGCGCCCCAATCCCTTTTTTTTTTGTGCACGGATACTGATTTTGGTGTGTTTTAACAATTGAATTGTGTATTTTTATCGGTTTAATATTAATTTGAGAAACATTTGCGCAATTATCGCAGGGCCTACAAATTTAGTATCACCATCTTTTTATTCTACCGGGCCTGCGCTTTCAGAAAATATATGGTTTGGGGGGTCTTTTACAAACGCTAGCAACGCAGCAGTTGAAAATCAAATCAATAGGAAAAAATTGCAGAAAATTCAAAAATGGCTTGGCCAGCTGATTTGAAAAATGTTCGAGGGATTGGCAGCGAAAGGGTTAAACAAAAAAGAAAAAAACATAATTGGTACCTTTCTTTTATCCTTAATGAGTCAAAAAAGCATTACAATGATATCTCATGATAATTAGTACACAATTTGCTTAAAATAGACGAATACCCAACAATAAAGACACAATGTAAGTGTTACCTTTAGCCACGGGTTCAACGGTAATGATGTCACTGCTATTTCCTCTTCCTGCAGACGTCACAGCTACCACCCACACACTGTATTGTCTGTTCCTGCTCAGGTTTGGTATTCGGTAGAAAAAGGTGTCCGGTGCAGCCTCAAATTCACTGATCACCTGAAAGATGGGAGATACGGTTCACTTTTTTTGCCGGCAGTTAAATCACTGAGAACAATATTAAATTCTGCTGGAAAACAGTTGGCCAGAGATGTTGCTAACATTAGTGGGACCCTTTTTATAAAGAGCTTTTATACCAGTAGAATTTATGATTGCAGAAATGTCAAGATAAAATAAATATTATTTAGTTCAAAATATATGTAATTCTGGTAATGAAATAGTAGACTCTGTTTTTTGTTCCCATGTAGTGTCAGATGTCATCTTTTAGCTATGAAATGTGTGTAGGTGTGCATGTGTTGGCTAACGTGTGTCATCGTTTCACTGGCATACATCCCTAATGCTGGGCATGCTCACAGACTTGGAGGGCATACAAACACCTTCTTTCTGGTGGCTGGTGCTCTGTCTTCTTGCCAGCTACTGTGTGCGCTAGTTCCTATTATACCCGATTTACTCATTGCCAACCCGGATTGCCTGACCTGCTCTTGTCTCCTTTCCCATTCCTAATTCTGCCTCTTCCTGACAACTCTCTTGCCTGCCCTGATCTCAGCCTAAATACCGAACACTCTGCTTGCTGCCTGCCTAGACCTTTGCCAGGATACCGACTATACTCTCACCTGCCACCTACCCCAACCTTCATTCATAGTCTGACCTCCTGCTTTTTGGCATTGTAGCCAGTCTGATTCTGTAACCCCCTTGGTGGAGCTGTCCTGACAGCTCAAAGCAAAGTAGCCTAGGGGCCACTATGGTCAACAGCCCATCACTCCTTGTAGGGTGCCCTGGTGAAATATTTAACTGCTGCTTCCTTTTGTTATTTCATCCTGTGGACATTGCACACGGTGTTCCGAAATCCCCCCAAAATTGTACTTCCTGCTTTTGTAATTGGGTCCCTGCTTGTCCTAGATGTCTGAAGTTACAGACATCTAGGACAGTTTGCAGGCACCTTCTGGGGGTTTTATTTCTGGTGGGCTACTTATTTAAGACTCATCCATCCACATTTTCTTGCTACAACACTGAGGTTGCTCAGGTGATACAAGGATACACAAACCTTCCTTTTTAGAGAAAGACCATAGAGAATGGTGGGCAATTGACAACAGTAGGAGAACATTTGCTAGACCCCTTGCAAAGCACACCTCTGGTGCCAGACCTGCAGCCCTGTGGTACTTGATGTGCAGCCCACAACACACAGCAGTGAGTAGTGGGAGGGCTGATTTGTAAAAAGGCTTCAATGGCAGACATCTCTAGCTGTCTATTGTAACATGTTCCCCTGGGTCTTGCATCATTTCTCCAGTCTACAAGCACACCTGTAGCATATTTGCAGTCTCTGCCATCTCCTGTATATCCACAGACAATATCCTATAGCATTACAAAGAATGGACAATATGTACAGCCACAGTTGAGGCCCACTAATCTTTGTACGTTGACAAACTATGTACATAGATCCCCTGCCAGGAGTAGTTTTTTGGTTAATTAGACTGGATCTGTACTTTAAGGACGCTCTTTCTACAAGCTAGTAGTCATGTGGCAGAAACATTCTAGAAAAAGTAATGATCCAGTATAAGTTAATGCTTCTCATCAGCCAGCGGTAAACTCTTGAGCCAATAAGCTCTGTGTGTAACCTCGCTTTTTGTAAAATTGCTTTATTAGAATTTCCCTGATTGCCTTGAGCGACGAAGATTACGTCTCGAAACACCAAGCCGAGCCGGCTGCCTCATTAAAATACCGAAGACAGCGCGTGATGGTATTCTGAGGTTATCCCAGGGAATAACTCATGAAGAAGGTGTAATTATGGCTTCTAGCATCTGCAGAATGGCATCAGCTTGATATGAAATCACAACATAGCCCACATCCCTGCATAACGGGTTAACAATGGAATCTAATGTTAGTGATGGCAGAAGACTGGCAAAAAAAATGAGTGACTGAAGTTGGGCTTTAAACGGTATCTATGGTCAAAAACTAAAAATACATCTGTATTTCTACATTGAATTTCCATAAGTTCTATCCCACTCCTAATAACCAGATCCAGAGGTTTGTAAACTTACATTTAGATGCACATAGAATGTACTTCCTCAAAGCACTGATACAATGTCACTCAGCCCTGTAAATATGCCCGTTCTTTTGTGGCCACTCTCAAAGTGCCCGCCTACTGAACTACAACTCAACCTCTGAACAATGTAACATTATCATTGCTTGCTAGAAGCAGTGCATGATGGTATATGTAGCCTTGAGAAATCGAGACTGCATCACATCAAGTAGTAGGGAAAGCGACACAAAGCACACTGGGAATCCAAGAAGTTGTTGAAAGTGATGGGGAGGTTGAAGGCAGCGCTCACTACATAAAAAGGATTTTTTCAAGTAAGATTTCATTGCATTATCAAAAGCAACTTTAATGGTGTATTATTAAATAAAGGGCTACGTTGATTTAAAGGAGAACTATGGGGTAAGTGTTTTACCCCATAGTTCTCCTAAGGGTCAGGGCTGGACATCCATACTAGCGTCCTCCCGTGACCCAAGGCTCAGTATATTGCGAGCTACAGATCAATTTCATAGTTCGAATCGACGTGTGACAATGAAACTGTCACACGTCAGCTCAATGGATCGGGAAAAGAGCGAACACATACCGTCGCTCGCTCACTTCTCGATCATCTCCCTGCACAGAGTGGTGACTGTCACTCACGGCTACCTGCAGGGATTCCCCCCTCCCCGCTCCAATCCTCCAGGCTGACTGGAGGAACGGATGGGAGAGGGGCAGATGCAGCTGGCTCTGCCACAGTTGGGTGGATCTCGACAGTAATGTCGGGATTCGTCCCGGCTGCAGCGGTCTCAGTATAACGCAAGCTGTAGCTCACGATATACTGAGCTTTGGGTCATGGGAGGACTAGTATACGCTAGAGGGCAGAGCTTCTGATGTCACTGCACTGAGCTGAGCCGGACGTACAGGTTTTTTTTATCGCTTTGCTGCCATTTGCCCTGCTGGTCTGATCCAGCAATACCCAATGCCTGTACTGTTTACACCATTGCAAGTACGCATTTTTTTATTTAATAAATTGCATTTTATTGGACGTTACGCACTATGTCCTTGTCCTTTTTCTCTTTCCACCTGGATTTATACTGGTACCTGTGATCTGAGGAGACCTTATCGCCTAATCTGTGCATGGTCTTCCCTCCCCCATTCAGAAGGAAAAAAGCGCATTTGACCTAGCTCTGTGGGTCTACCTCCCCAGGTGAGCACTCACTTGTTGTCATCACTCGCTGGGTGGAGGTGAAGGTCTGCCTGCATTGTGTGATTATCCTTACCTGAGAGTTATATGCACATTGGCTGCGAATCATCTGAGGATTTTTTTTTGCACAATCACCATTGTTTGCTTTTGTTTTTTCCTTGAGACATTTTATTGTCTATATTGCTTTTTTGTCTTTGTGTAGATATTTTCTATGCCTCATTTGTTTGAAGGCTCATATATGTGACTCACTTATATATGTTTCAATTTATTAGATATGTATGATTATTAGCTCGGCACAATATTGTTTTTCACATTTTTCAGATATTTAGATATTTCCTTAGTGCTTGGTAGCTCTTATTTCCACATTACACTTACTGACGCTGATCACCTTTATTGTTTATTTTTAATACGCTATTATATGTCCTCCCGTGACCCTTAAGAGAACTATGGGGAAAAACACTTACCCCATAGTTCTCTTTTAAGTCTAATATCTGCCTTTGCTCACCATTAAAAAGCCTTTTTTTATGTTTTATCTATGGACAATCTACATATATAAATACATGTTCAAAAGTACATATTAAAACATAACTGCATGTCATAATGAGTACAACATTATACTAATAAATCAAGAATGTGCTGCGCTCATAAACATATAATAAATAAAAATACCGTAATACATATATACAACACTGTTACAATACCGTGCTACTTGAAACTAAAGTGCAACAAATATATATCACACAACTTATCAAAAAGTCCACTATAGTTCACTGGTGCAACAATTAAAAATAAAAAGCAGTAAATAAGAGAAAGGACCACTTTGAATTGGCACACCAATAGTGCAATGATAAAAAGGTTGTGCACCCCAATCCTGTATGGGTTTAGATCGAGTGATAAAGCAAAAAAAATTCTCTGTGCTCCTTGTAACTGCGCCCGTCCACTTCCAATAGAATAACTTTCACCTCCAGAAGCGACCTTATGTTATAAAGGTCCAATAAACGCAAATTTACCCTTTTTTCTCAAGTCTCAGGTGGAAAGAAACCCAATGTAGGCAATGGTAAGATCCTCCTCCACTCTGCGGCTTGTGTTTGTAGTTATCTCCAATGGTAACACACTTGCTGCGCTCCCACTCAGTTTACCGAATGTAGTAAACGGAGACAAAAACAAGAGACTCCATAGTGTACTCCAAAAACCGCATTCAAATTTGAATAAGATAAAATGTACTCACAAACAAACTATAAAAAAAAACATCCAAGCACTGACGAGGTTGCCTACCCCTGCTATAGAGTGTCACTTGAGTGACAGCTCTGACTCTGCCGAGATTACATTCAAGAAGGTGTCACCCAGAAGCAGGCTCAGGGCTTTCAGATGTCTACATGAGGGAGGTTTTTACTGGTAACTAACATCCATAAAATATGTTTAATACACCCGGGTCTCTGCTGGAGCCCTGCCTGTTCTCTACATTTTCTGAGCCTTGACTTTGGTTTCTGCTCTCCCTTTCCTTTCTTGGTTCTGATCCCCTCTCCCCCCTTCCTCTCTCTGTTATTTCCCTACGATTTCTGAATAATCGACAGTTAGATAACGTGTAGGCCGTACCGACATTTAGCCCATATGGTTTCTCCTATACCAAACGCTGGTATGTTACGATATGCATCAAACTCCAGAGCCCCTCGTACTGTTATATATGCACGTGTACATAAGTAATCTATTTGCATACCACCCTTTGGGCTTGAGAAGCCGCACTACTGTTGGTTATTCTGTGAGTTCTTGACATTAACGATG